GATGGTGGAACAGTAATGGTGGAACAGTGATGGTGGAACAGTGATGGTGGAACAGTAATGGTGGAACAGTGATGGTGGAATAGTAATGGTGGAACAGTAATGGTGGAACAGTGATGGTGGAACAGTAATGGAATAGTAATGGTGGTAGTAATGGTGGAACAGTGATGGTGGAACAGTGATAGTGGAACAGTAATGGTGGAACAGTGATGGTGGAAGAGTGATGGTGGAAGAGTGGTGGTGAAACAGTGATGGTGGAACAGTAATGGTGGAACAGTGATGGTGGAACAGTAATGGTGGAACAGTGATGGTGGAACAGTGATGCTGGAAAAGTAATGGTGGAACAGTGATGGTGGAATAGTAATGGTGGAACAGTGACGGTGGAACAGTGATGGTGGAACAGTCATTGTGGAACAGTGATGGTGGAACAGTGATGCGGGAAAAGTAATGGTGGAACAGTGATGGTGCAATAGTAATGGTGGAACAGTAATGGTGGAACAGTGATGGTGGAACAGTAATTATGGAACAGTCATGGTGGAACAGTCATGGTGGAACAGTGATGGTGGAAGAGTAATGGTGGAACAGTGATGGTGGAACAGTGATGGTGGAACAGTAATGGTTAAACAGGAATTATAGAACAGTGATGGTGGAACGGTAATGGTGGAACAGTTATAGTGGAACAGTAATGGAGGAACACCATGATGGAACTGTGAAAGTGGGACAGTTACAGTGGAACACTAGTAGTGAAATAGTGATGGTGGAACAGTAATGGTGGAAGAGTGGTGGTGGAAGATTGATGATGGAACAGTAATGGTGGAAAAGTATTGGTTTAACAGAGAACCGGAAATAACGTAAGCTTCAATTTAAGAGTAATTTAGTTATTCAGATAAATGATGGATAAGAATCTGTTGAAAGTCAACGATCGCGAAGGAACGATGGCTTTGCTTTGGTTGAAGTTAAAAAAACATCTTAATGAGATATAGGCTCTTATATAAGTTTTTGCGTTGGAAAGAATCTCAATGAGAGGGGTATCTTATGGTTATTATATCTCCAGTACGAGTTTCCAATTTGAAAAGTACCCGAATTAGAGTGGTATCCCTACGTTTCGCTGTTCCCTGATTTACTGTGTAATATCGGTTTGTGTCAGCAGTTTACGCAAAATATGTTTGAACGCCTATGCACCCCGTCAAATTTCCACAAAAAATCAGTTCCTAAACAAACCAGGATTCCCATTGTCCGCGTTGATAATTTTAGATTGGTATCCCTACGTTTCTTTGTTCCCTGATTTATTGAGTAGTATCGGTTTGAGTGTCAGCGGTTTACGCAAAATACGTTTCAACGCCTATACACCCCGTCAAATTTCCACAAAAAATCAGTTTCTAAACAAACCAGGATTCCCATTGTCCGCGTTGATAATTTTAGATTGGTATCCTTACGTTTCTTTGTTCCCTGATTTATTCTGTAATATCGGTTGGAGTGTCAGCGGTTTACGCAAAATATGTTTCAACGCCTATACACCCCATCGAATTTCCACAAAAAAAATCAGTTCCCAAAGAAACCAGGATTCCCATTGTCCACGTTAATAATTTTAGATTGGTATCCCTACGTTTCTTTTTTATAAAAGTCAGCCTACAAAGCCCAGTTTTATGGCCGATCTAAAACAAAAACACTAGAGAGAATGAAGGAAAAAGGTTAGAAATATGGGAATAAAATGTGCTCAACCATTACCTGTGGAAATACAAAGAAACTAGAAAGTTAGAATAAGTTTTTGCAATGGAAAAAATCTCAATGAGAGGGGTATCTTTTGGTTATTAGATCTCCAGTATGAGTTTCCAATTTGAAAAGTACCCAAATTGGAGTGGTATCCCTACGTTTCTCTGTTCCCTCGGTTTGAGTGTCAGCGGTTTACACAAAATACGTTTCAACGCCTATACATCCCGTCGAATTTCCACACAAAATCAGTTCCTAAACAAACCAGGATTCCCATTGTCCTCATTGATAGTTTTAGATTGGGGTAACCTTGATCTTCTCTATAACAAAAAGAGATTGAAGTTAAAAAGGGCAGAAATCTAGGAAGCTGAAGACTTGCAAACTCAAAGCACTCACTTGTTGATGCCGAGAGTAAATTCCTGCTAAGAACTCCTACGAAGAGAAGCTTTTACATCAATTTCCGCAGTTAGGTAGCGACAGGAACTCTGAAATAATAACGAAAAGTTGAAATACACATTGCACATGTAGTAGTGTTTTTTTATTAAAATAAACACTAATGGGGGTTTAAAGGATTTTTTTTGTAGAAGTCGATGAATTTTCACCCCAGAGATAATTGAGTGTTGCATCATTTGCTATACAGTACTAACAATGTACATGGCAGATATGTACATTTACTTAATTACACATTCTACGCTCTACGCGATCTGCCACACAAATTATCCATGACTTGCTCGATGCAGGGTTCACAGCATAACCAGTAGAGCAACAGCATATCTAACTTGGAGGTCGTGCGTGGGTGCGAATCATGCCAAGATCAATACACTTTTTCTTTGCCTCGTGGGGTCCCCAAATTCCATTTACTTGGCATAACGCTTATTGGGGTTTATGGGTTGAACCTACCAGAAGTTGGAAAGGTATTAGTTCCTTCCATCCCTGTCAAGTTTTCTCATACGGACATCTCGGTTGAAATCTGATACAACTTTCAACTGGACATGTATCATTTCCCTTCCGCAGCATTTTACTCCTACAAAAAAAGACAGTATAACATGAACGTTATCCTGGAGAAATAATGGTTACAAAAATCAGTAGTACTGTTTACTGAATCAGTAGCCAATGAGAACTCTGTTTGTCTTTTTTATAACAAGGTTGCTTTGCTTGCAGAATTTAAAACTCTTTTTTCACTCTACGGCCTCCCTTTGGTAACTGTAATGTGTAGTTGCAGAAAATATCCATAACCCCCCACGGAGGGCAACGGAAATTCGGAGGGGAGGCGGGGATGTCGAAAAGGAGGCAATTACAGAGGGAGTCGGGGGTTGCTTACAGAGGTCTTTTTCTATGGGGTCTGAGTAAGATTGGTGAGTTGTTAATAAATAGCAGCTTCTCTCTTGAGAAAGCTTACATCAGTTATTTTGCTGTCACCGGTGTTTCAAAGCAAGCATTATTGTTTGCATTGATCATCTTTTTTCTAGGGTCGGCTAAATGCTTTTTTCAATAGTTTTCTTTAATATAATACAGTCGTATCTCCCAAAGGGACAGAGCGAAGTCTCCGTATTAGAGAGATGTCCTTTTTAGATAGGTTAATATGATGACGTCACCAAAGGAATGTGAAGAATCTGGCAGAAAGTGCATATGAAATTGGTAACTGCGCCTAGAATAGGTTGCGTTCTTCTTCGTCGAACGCAAAAAAATAGCTAAGGACATCTTATTAACATGAATGAAATTTATTTTCTCATTTTCTCGCAGAAAAAAATTATCTTTTGCATAATAATATAGTGCAACAAATACAGTATTTTTGACACAAATATACTTTCCAGAGGGTACTCAACCAAATTCCAGGAGGTGGGGGGCTATGACATGCATCCCCTACACTGTAAAATGGGAGGTCTAACTTAAAAGTTCCCTCCGTGGGGGTATGGATATTTTCTGGAACTATATAGTAATAGATGTGTTCAGTATTTTACTGACTGCTTCAGTGCATACATGCCAACTTGCCCGGATAAAATAGAGTTATGAGCTTTACTGTGACTTCATCTTAGGTTTTTCCTATTTTTTCTCAAAATTCCACTTTTCTTTGATTCATAGTTCGGTTTCTGTGGCCTCTTTCCATTTATTTCGTCATTGATAATGATTATTTCACCTTCACAATCCTAAAAGCTAATTATGATGGTCTGTATTTGATGTAAGAATTCATATAATGTCCTAAGCTTATCAGGAGATTAGGGGGGTGGGGTGGGAGGTGGTGATGCAAAAGAGGGAGTATCCAGATTTTAGATTTCCAGGGGTTGGCATCTCTGCAGTGAGTGCAGTGCGTTGGTTGATGGCTTATCGCCAGGTTCCAATGGATATATATGTTGTGGTTGATTTTTTATCTCAGGTAATTTGTATTTTTCTTTTGCTTTAAATTCATAAGTAATACATTAAAATTCCCTGCCCCCCCCCCCCCACCCGGCCAAAAAAAAAATTACCTGAGATAAAATATTACCTACAACATACATTTAAATTGGTGTACATATTTTTCACTGAGTGTTAATTTTCATACAGTGAATGGTTTAACATTTGCATCATGTATTCTGCTTGGTACTAACCTGCGATCAGGCGAAGAAAAAAAAATCGCCTGATCACAGGTTAGCTTGGATTTGTATCAAGGCATCAACAGCAAATTGTTTTCAAGATAGCATTATCTAGTAGCAGCCTGAGAGGGTCTTGCAATGTTACGTACCTCTTCAGCTGATTAATGCAAGCTTTCGGTTCAAGTTTTCATGCACCCAGGAGGCCTCTCAGTATTACAATCAGTGCTTCATGTTCAATTTGCCAGGAACAGATATTTGTCTGGAAAATAAAATGTGTTTTATGACTATCAGACTATGACTTTTACTTACCCTGTGGTTATCTGTGTTAGGTTACAATGACTAAGAGTACTAAATAAAAATATTGTTTTTAAGGCAACTCAGGTTTCTACATCGCATTAATTTGTGCTGTTTATCTAGAGAATTACTGTAGATGACTGATTTGCTGCTAATAATGATACAGTGTAGTTTAAAATTTGCTTATCCAGGGCAGGAAAAAAATTAAAACCCACCTGTCCATGGTAATGTGGTTCTAACTTAGTTCTTGTCTATAATAAGTCATATATGTAGATATTTTTTTGCAGAATTAGTTTAGGTATAAATAACATGATTTGTAGTGATTTTCAGCATAAATATTACAGTTATATATTTCAAAATTATGTAATTTCAAGAGCCGTTAGGCGAGTGAAATTTGAGACAATTTTGAAATATCATGAGTGGTATTTTATGCCAAATATCAGGTACAAATCATGCTATTATTAATTTTGTTTTTCACTACCTGTAAAGGTTTTGTAATTTTCACAGGCAGGTAATAATTTCAATTTAAGCTGAAATACCACTGTTCTAAGCCAATCAAATTGCAGAAATTTCTCATGTAGTAGTATAAAAAGAGCAATAATTTAATGAGGGTAATTGCAGTACAGTATAACCCATACTCTTTGGACAGCCGAATATAATGGACAGTTTTACTTGCCCCACCAAAAGGTCATACATATTTTCTCTAAAAATAACCTGCCTAATACAGACACCACTAAATATTGACAGCGGATACTTTTCCATGTGTATATAACAGTGAAACCTCTATTAAGTAGACACCCTCTATTAAGCGGACACTTGGGAAGATCCCGAAGGTGTCCGCTTAATAGAGGTTTCACAGTACTAAAATATTTTTATTATCCATCATCAATCCAGCTTTACAAGGATTTCTTTTCTGTGCACTGTTCATACTGACTGGATATCTTATCAATGAAAACCTAATAGAAATGGCAAGTGACTTCTACTTTAGCCGAAATTTCATCTGATTGCTTTGAGTCGTTTTCTCCTCTCAGCAACATCACAGGAAAAAAGAACGGAAAAAACAGGAAAAAGTAAATGGGAATCCGTTATTTTTTCCTGTGCGTCTGAATCGACTGGCCGTTAATGCCATCCCGTGACGTCAGTACTCCTTTGCCTTAATTCATGCAAAAAGTAAAACATGATTTTCAAGTGGCAAACCGAGAAATATCGCTTGGAAATGTCAGCATGATACAGAATTGCTTTACTTTTTTCAATCGTAATTAATGTTTAACATTCAAACTATCAACTGCATGCAGTACAGCTCTGAACCAGCTGTAATTCCATAATCAAACACGGTCACAATCATGCAATGAAATAAATACACACAGAGAACACTTCGTTCAAAAACACAATGATTTGCTTTAATTGAAAAGAAGATATTTGGTCCTTAACGGAGAATAAAAACAAGGAAACAAGAAAGAACAGCTAATAGAATCATTACACTTGACAGTGAAAATAGCAAGAAGGTCGAATAATAACATGAGATATTACACATGAAATTTTCAGAATTTTACCTGTGTTTTCACAATTCTTCTGAAATCTCGACACCTTAGTTAAACAAAACAAAAATCAACTTTGCCATTACAAGACAACTGAGCCAGCCCAGTATTGTGATGCTAGGATCCCGGCTGGAATTTTTCCAAGTAATCACGCTTGCCACGCAGCTCGGTGAATGAACCACGCGAGGAACATGCACGCTGCTTTCAATCTCTATATAAAGCTAGCAGCTCTGGGATGGCCCTTTTCATGCAATAACGGGATAAAAGTCACCTCAGCAAAGCTATCCAGTCCGGCTCATGTGTTCAGGCTGCTAGTGTGAGTTGCATCATAACACAGTTTGCATGTGAAAGCTTTGGAATTTGCCGCTTTTGTGGTTAGTGTATGAGAGAAGTCCACTTGATCTAAAGGTTATTGTTTTCTCAATACACCTCCACCTCCTTTCCGAACATATTCGATGAAATTATGCATCATTCAATGTTAAAAGTAACAGGCTAATGTCTACTGGCTCCAAAAAAATTATCAAATGGCTGAAATACTTTATACATGGCCACTCATCCCATCCTCATTTCCCCCACTGAAACAATCCCATATTCATCTCATGCACGATCACGGAACTGTCTGTCATTGCATGACATCTACTTTGACTCTTAACAACTGAGGACAAAAATATTGTCAAACTCTTGGCTATAAGCCAAACCCATCAATTCACAGTGTGATTTAACCAACGATTAAAAAATATTCATGACTTCTAAAACTCAAACAACACATAAAGCCATTGTGAATGGATACAAATACCCAAAAAATTGGCCGGCTAAATGATAACATCATATCAAAAAGCAGAGCTATTTCCTGTAATATGATATTTGAAATGTCATTCCTCATG